ATTCAGAGAAGGACAAGTTTTTACTTCCAGATCTAATAGTCATGAGAGGGATTTGCCCTGATCTGCCCTGGCCCCTCAGTGGACATTTTCAAGATGACCCTGTAAGATGGAGATTTTTATGTCCTTTATGTACAGAGAACGAAAGCTCAAAGTGTTGAATGCCTTCGGTAAGGCTCAACACCTTGACTTTATGCTGCTGAAACAGAGAAGCCCCGTTGTCTCAGTGATGGCATTTATGAGCCTGGTGAAGGGCGAGGGAATGGACTTTCATTTCACATCTTCTATTGGCCAGGCAGACTGATTGGCATGTCATGTGCTCTACCTCCTTCAGTCCTCAGAACAACTCCAAAGAAGCTAAGAAACTCAGTGACCTGCTCAAAGTTTAGTGTGCAGGCCGGGGAGGCAGCAGTGTGGGTTCAACCCCACCTCTGCAACTTGTACCTGTGTGACTGGCAGGCCACTGAACATCTCTAAGCCTCAGTCTTCACATCTGAAGATGAGACTAACAATGGTAGGTACTTAGTCAATATTGACAATTACTGTCCTGAATTGGAGTCAACCAGCCCTCAAATAATCCTGACAAATTGGTGGCATTTGGGGAACTGGAAGGAATCTCGAAAGATTTCCTAGCCACTGGTTTTCCAACTCTTTTCCTTGGAGACCTAGGATTCTGCAGAGGTCATTGGTGAATGAAGGGAAGCTGAGTATGTGTGCCCTTTGCCCACCTTCTTTAGCAGAGCAGCTGTTTCTAATGTGAGTTACATATCAGTTGCATGCTTCTAGCTCTTTTACATATTGGGGGTGGAGGTATGATTTCATTTCATAAAAATGGTCCTGCTGCTTTTAAAAAAAAGTTGCCAAGGCTAGAACCCACATCTCTGGTTCCTAGTCTCGTGTTTTTGCTGTACTTACTAAAACAGGGAACTGAAATGATACATTTTAGAAAGGTTATCATCACTGAACATCAAAATTTAAAACATTATTTTCATACCTTCCAGTTAGTCAAAAATTCGTTTAGCCTAAACCCTATTCCTGTCTCATAATCCTAGGAACAGAAATTTTGCTGCTATCATAGCCTTAGACAAGAACTGTCCAATAGAACTTTATGCAGTGATGGTAATGTTCTCTATGTGCACTGTCCAGTACAGTAGCTAGTGTAACAGAGGATCTGATTTTTAAATTTTATTTAATTTTAATTGATTTGAATATAAATAGCGACATGTGGCTGCTGGCTGCCGTATTGCATAGTGCAGCCTTACAGTATAGAGAAGGGGTCAAATGGCACTCCCCAGCCCCTCGGCATCAGAATCATCCAGAGAACTTGTCAAAAGTACAGATTCTGGGCCTAACGCCCAGTGACTGATTCAGTCGGCCTAGGGTGAGCGCATTGTAAGAACTCATCTGTTATTCTAACTTGCAGTCGGATAGGAGAGTGCTGCATTAGAAGCTGTCCCTTGGAGTGGAGGGGTGGGCCAGAGTCAGGCATTTAGCCCTGGCCTTGATCTTCTGGGGAGACTAGAGCAGCCTTCTGGGGAATGTCAGACCCTTGGAGAATGTGATGAAAGCTCTGGACCTCATCTCTGGAAAAATACAAGCTGCATATAGTTTCTGGGGCTCACAGCCCACCTTGAAACCATCCTTGAACCCACATCAAGAACTCCTCAACTTGGACAGAAGATCTTTACTAGCTGGTGAGGGAGCTGAGTTTGAGTCTCAGGGCCCAGGAGCCTTGCCCACAGCAGGCATGTCACACAGATATGCCCAAGGGTTTTCTGGTACCATCCCAGTCATTCCTACCCCTAGACTTCTCCAGGGGGTCATCGAGGCACCACAGAAGAGAGAACAGGCAGTGTACATGGATCAGGCCCTAAAAGAATACCTAATGAATTCCATATCTTTTCTGTTGTTTTCTTGGACTTGTGGGTGAGCCGGGTGGGTTTGACTACTGCCAGTGCTCATGTCCTCAGCTCTGACACAGAGAGCAGACGGGTAGAATGCACTTGAGGCCTGAGTGAAGCTGGGGAGAGTGTCCAGACTGAGTAATGGATCAGGATTTTGACTTGTCTTCAAAGGCAGAGACACAGCTGGCTCCCACAGTCCTTAGTCCCCACAAGCCGCAGGGCAGTAGGCTGGGGCATCGAGCCAGGGGCCAAGCCCAGGGCTGGGATGACCACCTGGCCAGCAGTCCCAGGCTTAACGCAGAACCCTGTTTTTTACGGACCAGAACCCATATAGAAGTGGGGAAGGAGGGAGGGGGCAAGCATATATGAATGTGTAGGAAAGCTGCTGTCAGGCCAGAGTGTCCCAAGAATAACCTCTTGAACTTGGAGGCTGTCGGTGAGGGTGTGAGTCATGGTCATGTGGCCCAGGAAAGCCAGCCACAGGAGAGGCTGTACAGCGCCAGGGCCGTGATTTCGTGCCCCTGGGAGGTGAGGGTCAGCCTGTTTTCCCGTGCCCGTTACAGGTTCAGCTGCCAGCTGCTGGGTTAGCTTCTCAACGGCCTCCTTGTTCCTCTCTCTGCCTCCAGGCTGTTGGATGAGTCATCAGGGAACTGCAGAGGCGGCCTGAGCTCGGCTGCCTCAGCTTCAGCCTCAGCTGCTTCTCAGGGACAGGCGCCTGGCGTGCTCATGGAGGGAGGGTCAGGGCCCCTGGCCAGCGGCCCATCTAGCCACCCAGGTGAAAGGACGGCTCCTGGGGGTGCGAGAGAGTGCCCCACAGCCTCTCTGGAGGAGCTCTAGCTCAGGAAGAGCCGCATCAGGCAGAGACAGGCTGTGTGAGCCCAAGCAGAGCTGGGTGCCCTCGGAACAACCACTGACCACCAGCCTCATTTCTCTCGCTCGTCAGACGGCACTGTCTTCATCCTCGGTGCTCGGGATCATCCTGTCTCTGCAGGCCATCTTTTGATTCCCTCATTCAGCCAACACCGGTTGTCTCGTCTGTGCCCCACTGTGCCGTACACCGAGGGCACCACCCCTGCCCTCAGGAGCCCTCTGACCAGGGAGGACCACGAATTTCCCCCCTTGTGTTTGCCTGCAGCCCAGGAGACTTGGGGAGTGGGCAGCACAGCCTGGAGCCTGGCCTGGCACTGCCACACGCAGGCTGGGTGACCCTGGGCAAGTCTCTGCCAAAGTTCAGGCCTCAGTTTCTTCAAGTGAAAATGAGGAGGTTAAAGTGATGTGGAGGTCCCTATAAGCACACCTCTAATACTGTTAGGTTTGAAGGGTTTTGCTTTGTTTTTAAGATGTCATTTCCCCGATAAGGAGGCTGAGGTAGGTAGGCGCTACTGGGGGCCCTAGACCGATCCTTTTTGGAGGTGGAAGGGGTTGAGGAGGTGTGTGGGGATGAAAGCATGGTTACAAGAACAACAGCCTGCCTTGGAGGGCTTTCACCTAATGAAAGTCAGAATACCCCTAAGACTTCTTAACGTCATCAAGTCACAGTGAGGCCGCCCATTCTGCCTCCTCGGTGTCTGGCCTTCAGGACCAAACCCAGGCATCCATGCTGAAAGCTGGAGCCTCTCTGAGTTCAAAGCTAGCAAGCCCTTGAAGGCAGAGATGTAAGTTTTAAATTACTAGTGACCACCAAACTCACCCCCTCCTCACTCACCCCCAGTGGAGCTGGCTCAGTCTTTCATAGCGATCCTACTGAGGCAGATTCAGTAGGAAGAAGGTGTCAGCCTAGTGTTTCCCAGCTTCCCACTGTCTCCTTTAAGCTTCCAACCTGATAGGCCAACAGGCCAGAGGCATTAGAGGTTTGGCCTCACGTGGTCTGCCTTTCTGCCCCAAGAACAAACAGAGGCGTGATCCGGCATACGTGGCGGTACAGCAGGGGAGACTGCATCTGTCAGTAACAGCTTCAAGACCAACATGCCAGCAGAGAGCACTTATTAAAAACCTGTCTGAATCTGGTGCTTTCTCAGGCTTTGTCTGAAGCAAGTCATGACCCAGAAGGGCCCCGCTCTTTGGGAGTTAACAGTCTCAGTCTTCAAATAGGTTCCCAAATGGTAACAATCTCAGATCGGTGCTGTTCCCTGTCATGACAGTTCTAGTCTACATGCTGTTTACACAGATTGTCTCAGCACTGGGCTCCCTCTCGCCTGTGGCTCCCTGGTAACACACAGGCTGGTGGAGATGGAACCCAGAGAGGTGAATTCTTCTGCTTTGTCCTCATATTTCTAGAGGTATAGGTTGGTGTTGGGGGCTCTAATATAAATTCCACTACTAATGTTGCCTGAAAGAAAAATGATACCTAGGAGAGGTTTTCAACAAATGAGTTTGGACATTACAGAAGGAAGCATGTCACTTCCTTCTGGAGAGCCACAAACAGATGCGTCTTGGGAAAGGAGCCAAGTGCTGGCACTGCCATTTGCATGCTGATTTTTAGACTTTTTAAAATTTCATATATATGTACTATATGTATGCACATACACACAAATATGTATATATACACACATGTGTATACACACACATGTACATACATATATCTACCTCCTGCTAGCAAAAAACTTGATTCTCCGCACTTGGAGAAAAGCCATGTGGATGATGTAGACATGTCCTCGAAGAAGGCAAGGCTTGTGTGGAGCCAGTGAGGTGACTGATGGCTTTGGAGTATGGGATCCACCACCCTGTTCTGGGGAAGCAGTTGGCCATAAAACAAACAACAGAAAAAGATTCAGCCATTATTTATAAAGGCAAGAAAGAAGCAACCCAGATGTTTGTGCTGTGGCTATCCTGGAGGAAGTGGGCTGGAGTCTTCCTTGTTGGGCAAAGTGCAAGAGTCTGTTTGTGATGGTGTGCTGGTGGGACTGGGGGCTCATACCTCATGGAACAGTGTGAATGTTGAGAGGCTGACTCCTTTGCCATTTGGGATGTTTGGAGGATAAACACGTGTGGCTTAAAGAGGCAGTGATCCTTTGCCCCAGGCTTTTCTCCTCCAACCTAAGCCTGACCCAGGCCCCTCAGGGTCTGGGAGTGACCTGCTCTGTTTGGTCTCTCTCTCAGGGTGAGCGTGAGCCTGGGAGATGGCAGTGATGGAACTGGCCTGCCCAGGCGCCCCTGGCTCCGCAGTCGGGCAGCAGAAGGAGCTTGCCAAAGCCAAGGAGAAGACACAGGCAACGGGGAAGAAGCAAAGCTCTATCAACAACCTCGAGGCCGTGGAGAAGAGCCCTGTGTTCTGTGGGAAGTGGGACATCCTGAACGATGTGATTACCAAAGGCACAGCCAAGGAAGGCTCCGAGGGAGGGCTGGCAGCCATCTCCATCATTGCCCAGGCCGAATGTAAGGGGCCCCGGTTGGGGGCTTTTGGCAGAGAGGGCAGATGGGTGGGCCTGCAGGTGGGTGCAGTCCTTGTTCCAGGGTGGCTGGGCACAGGTGAAGGTCTGGGTCCCTCTATGGAAGAGGGAGGTCAGGATGACCGCTGTATGAGATTCTCACAAGATACAGCTGGGGGTTAAGCCAAGCATGAGTGTGAAGTGGGAACTAGAACAGTGCTGGGGGATGGGACACAAGAAGGGAGAAGGGGCAAATGGAGGCTTTTGTTCATCATGACCAGAGCAGGGGAAGAGAGCAGGGGGGCAGGAATGCTTGGGCTTCACAGGTCCTGGGGCTCTTGGCAGGATCCTCAAGCAGGCCCTTAGCCTTCTGCTGTGACCTTGGGCAGCCTGAGCATCTCTGGAGAGGCCCCAGACAGGAAAGGCCAGGTCTCCTGGAAAGCCCCTCTGGGGCCTGTAGGCCCTTCATCACCTTCTGCCTCGAGGTGGCCCCACCCTAAAGAATGAACACCTGCTCTTGGGCCAGTTGAGGGGCCGCAGGGCGAGGCCTGGTCTGGTGCTTTCTGCTTCCACTCACAATCCCTCAAAATGACTCGGAATGGTGGCTGCCACCAGAGCCTGAGACACTCCCAGGAGGACTGGGTAGGACCAGGAGTCTCCTCTCTCCCGCACACCTACCTTCCAACCCAGCAGGTTTCTTAGGGTAGAGCCTGGCGAGACTGACAGCTCGTGATGGCATTTTCCCACAAATACACATCTTTCCCCTCATCTCCCACTTCCTTCTGGCTGGATTTTGCAGAAAGATGAGAGAATAAAAACTAAAATGGAGTGACATAATGTCATAATACATACATGCACATGCACATATCCATACATATGTACATATGTGACAGCTTAGATTTATTGAGTGGTTACAGTGTGCCAGGCACTGTGTTGAGTGTTTTATATAGATCACCTCACCTGAGCTCACAACACTTATGGGATGCTGGGAGGGGTGGGGAGCATCGGTGAGGGGAGCTGGTGTGGGCAGGGAGGTGGGCACCAGCTGAGTGGTCTGGGGAGGAGGAGGAGGAATGGCCCAAGAGGGCACCTGTGAAATGTCTCTCTCCTCAGTGCTGAACTCCTGTTCTTTCTCTTCTTTCTGCTTGTCCACCCCCTTTTCCTTTACTTAAAAGGCGAGAATAGCCAAGAGTTCAGCCCTACCTTTTCAGAACGGATTTTCATCGCTGGGTCGAAACAGTACAGGTAAGGAGGCGAGCTTGAGTGGGCCACAGGGAGCTGAACTGGCATCCTCCCCCTCCAGCCACTTGCCCAGGCCGCTCCCAAATGACCCCTGGCTCCTTCAGCACCTGTGGTTCAGCTCTTGGAAGCTGCCCAGACTTTCCTGGCTGAGCTGCTCTCTCAGCCAAATAAGCTTTTGAAAAGCTTTTCACGGCCTGTGGATGACTGCCTCTGGGTCATATCAGCTTGACGTTTTATTTTTATTCTCCTCAGAGTCCTTGCTGCTCCCTCTTGGTTCCCATCAGTAGGGAGGGTGCTGGGAACAGGAGTCACTTTCCCACTGGTGCGTGACCATGAATGCTGGCCCCCCGGGCCGCTCTAGTGGGAGAGAAACCTGCTGAGTCTTTTCTCCTGTGAGACACACCCAAGGAAGGATGAGGGTTTGGAAACAGGCAAGGACAGACAGACTCGCAGCTCCGTGGCCCTGTAGAAAAGAAGCCGAAGTGAGGCTCAGTCTGTTCCCAGGCTCCCCATCCCCAAAGACAATTTTTGGCAACCAAAAGTTGAACCTGGAAACAGTTCCCTCCTCTACCACCAGGTGGATTTTTCATCATTGGAATTTGGGAACTGCTAGTGATGAAAAGGTCGTGGGGAGGGCTGCTGCCCTTGAACCAAGAAATGCTCAGTGTTTGGGCAAATGCCTTATGCTGCCCCTGCTGCCTTTTGGCCCAGGGTAGGGGTCGCTGATGGACTCACTTCTTTCGGCTGTCTGAGAGAAGTCTCTAGGCCTCTAGCAGCCCCCCAGGACTGGGGTGAATCTGTCTCCTTTGTGGGGGGCAGAAGATGAGGCCACGGGAGGGTGGCTGAGGCCTGTGGTCTGCTCCACAGCTGTTTGGCAGTGGTTCCTTCCGAAGCTCTTCTGTTGCCAGGGCCTCAGTACCTGGCAGAGGTAAGAGCCAACTTAGATCCATGGTGGTGGTGAGCCTCTAGGCCGTCAGAGAAAGGCAGGCTCCCCTGGCTCCCTTGCACCAGCCCAGGTAGAATGTCTGTGTTTATGTGGCTCCTCACATTCCTGCAGCAACCAGGTATCTGCAGGAACCAGTGGGAGTGGAGGCAACCAACCTCGACTATCCTTTCTTCTGGAGGCAACAGAAGCCTGTCAGTGAGGGCTGAGAATGCCTGCCGTGGAGCATAGCCCTCCAAGTGACATGGCCCCATCTGGGACCTCTCCAGGGCATCCCACCTTGGAGAGCAGTGAGAGAACTGTGTGTCCACCCCCCTCCAGTGTGCACCCCATCACGATAGTAATGACCACTGTTTATTGGAGGCTTGCCTTGGGGCCAGGCACTGAGGTAGGCTTTTTAAATGAGCTGTTTCATTTAAAACTCATCTCCACCTGCATGGCAGAAAATACTACACCCATTTTATAAATGAGAAAACTGAGGATCCTTGGGGTTTAAGAATTTGCCCACGTTCACTCAAGTACTAACTAAGCTGGGATTTGACCTCAGGTCTATATGACTCTAATGGCAGTTCCCTGAGCCATTATATCTTCCTGCATCCTCAAACTCAAAATGCGTCTCTGTCCCCTTTTTGACAGCCAGTCTGAGAGTCTTGATCAAATCCCCAACAATGTGGCCCATGCAACCGAGGGCAAAATGGCCCGTGTGTGTTGGAAGGGGAAGCGTCGCAGCAAAGCCCGAAAGAAACGCAGGAAGAAGAGCTCAAAGTCGCTGGCTCAGGCAGGAGTGGCCTTGGCCAGACCCCTCCCCAGAACCCCCGAGCAGGAGAGCTGCACGGTCCCAGTGCAGGTGAGGCCCGCCACCACACGCCAGCCCCCGGGCCCTGGGCCCTGGCCGTCTGTCCTAACACCTGTGTTTTCCCCGCAGGAGGATGAGTCTCTGCTAGGAGCCCCGTATGTTAGAAACGCCCCACAGTTCACCAAGCCTCTGAAGGATCCAGACCTTGGCCAACTCTGTTTTAAGAAAGTAGGGGAGGGCCTACGGCCAGCACTGCCTCGATCAGAACTCCACAAACTCATCAGCCCCTTGCAATGTCTAAACCACGTGTGGAAGCTCCACCACCCCCAGGACGTAGGCCCCCTGCCCCAGCTCGCTCACCCGTTCCCCTACAGCAGACTGCCCCATCCATTCCCTTTCCACCCTCTGCAGCCCTGGAAACCTCACCCTCTAGAGTCCTTCTTCTTAGGCAAACTGGCCTGTGTAGACAGTCAGAAGCCCCTGCCTGGCCCACACCTGGGCAAACTGGCCTGTGTAGACAGTCAGAAGCCCCCGCCTGGCCCACACCTGGAGCCCAGCTGCCTGTCTCGTGGCACGCGTGAGAAGTTTTCGGTGGAAGAATACCTGGTGCACGCTCTGCAAGGCAGCGTGAGCTCAGGCCAGGCGCACAGCCTGGCCAGCCTGGCCAAGACCTGGTCGGCAGGGGGCTCCAAGCCCCAGGAGCGCAGCCCCGTAACTGAGGACAGTGAGGGGGTCCTGCTTACTGAGGTAAGTAGTCCCCCAAACACACGTACCCATACCACCACCACCACCAAGTCCAGGGCCGGGAGCAGCAGCTGGGTGTCACAGTGGGAGCTGCTGTGGGAGAAGACTCGGAACCTGCCAGACCCACTCTCCAGTTCCCACTCTTGGAGGGGGTGATTTTCTCTCTTTATCCGAGTCCCTCATGCATGTGACAACAAATCAAATAGTAGAAAATTGCTTATCACTGATGAAAAGCAGTGGTCTCCCACTCCACCTCCAGGCTCACTTTTCAGTCTTTTTAGCTATTTCTATTTTTAGTTTTTCTCATTGGTCACCTCATTATTGAATTGAGTGGGTCTGTGTATTTTATGAATAATCCATATACTGAGAAAGAGAGGAATAAGCAGATATCAATGGCAGGTGTTACCTCCTGACCCCCCAATACAGAAGATGAGGAGTTTGCCCGTCTTCTCTTCCCCTCCTTCCCTGTCCTCCAGTTCTCTTCCTGGATAACTCTGTAACTTGCAGTGACTTCTCCAGACTTAAATTTCTGGGTTTATTCCCTCCATCTTGACATTATTCCTGGTCCCCTGCCCCTCTCCTGTCCTTCCCTTTCTTCTACCTGATAGCTCCTGAGTTATCATTTTTCACTGTCAAGGTTGTTGACAGTTCTGTTTCTGTCCCACAACCACAAGTCCGGGAAGGTTTCTCTTCACAAGGATCGGCTTGTCTCTGGCAGCCGTGAGGCTCTTCTTTGCCTTCACCCTATTCCTAAAACCCCCTTTCTGGTCCTGCCCCCCAAGAGCCCTGCCTCAGACCTGGTGGTGTCTTTGGTTGTGAGGTCTCAGCCCCGGCAGCCTGGAAAGGACCACCGGCTCGAGAGCCTTCCTCACTGTAACCCTTCTTCCCGCCACTGAAACTGGCCTCTCTCTCCTGCCAACCCCAGAAACTCAAGCCAGTGGATTATGAGTACCGAGAAGAGGTCCACTGGGCCACGCGCCAGCCCTGCCTGGGCAGAGGCTCCTTCGGAGAGGTACACAGGATGGAGGACAAGCAGACCGGCTTCCAGTGTGCTGTCAAAAAGGTATGCCAGGGGTCCGGGGGCTAAAGAGGGAAGCCAGGTAGGCAGCCTGTTGCATTCCCTCTGCTTTCTTTCAGGGATAGGCACAGGGCGGCCATGGGTCTGACTTGTTAACAGAGCCTGGCTATTGCTAGGCACTCTGGGTCAGCTGGAACTGGAAGGGAGCAGTCTCAGTCACACGTCCCGGTCTGGGAGCTGCACTTGGTATGTGTGTACGTGAGAGGGGGAACAGCACTGTGCATGCAGCCTGGGCCACTCCTGATGCCAGGGCCCTTAGAGGCAAGTCAAAACCTGGAAGATGGTTGGGTCATCATGAAATTCATGTTGAGCTGAAATCCCTAAACCACAATAATGGGGCTGCCCACACCTGGACCGGAAGGTAATAACAAGAGCACGAGCCTCCACCTAACAGGTCCCTCCTGGAGAAGGCCTTGCACCTGGGGAGTCAGATGATCTGGTTTGAATTCAGGCTCTGCCTCCTGTCAGCCAGGTCCTGGAAGAACTGGAGACCAGAGAGGGTAGTGTGCCTCGCCCAAAGCCGCACAGCTGGGCCTGGACCTGAGGCCTCCTGTCAAATCACACTGTCCAGGCCCAGCAGCAGCAGATCTGCAGATCTCAAGAGTGTTAGCCCTGCTCCCCTTCAGCTCTCTTTTCTCTTACCCCTGACTCTCAGCTCACCTTGAGTAGAAGCCACCTTGTCCCTGGCACAAGCTCAGCCTGAGAGCGAGCACCCAGGACTTCAGAAGCCAGAAATCAGAAACATTTCTGTGGGCCATTTCTTTAGCCCGTGGGCAGGGTGAAATAAGCTAGCTCAAAGATAGACCTTGTTTTCAAGCAGCTTATATCAAAGACACTCTGAGCCTCAAAAGGAAAGAGACCGAATAGGCCCAGCACACTCAAGCCCGGTGCAGAGTGGACACTGCCATTGCCTTGGGTGCCTGTGGCTTTAAGGGGTAAGGCTACAAATGGGGATGTGAATAAACCTGGCTTCCCTGGCTCGTACGTGGGCCAAGGTGTTCGAGCTCTAGAGTTTTGGCCTCAGGGTGGTGGGATGAGAGAGGGGACTATCCGTAGGTATTACCCCAAACTTTAGACGTCCTGTTCAACTAAGCAAGCTCCACCCTACCACCCCCCACAGACCAAAACCCGTGCTGAGTTCTTGCCAGCATGGGGCATCATCTTGCACTGAGATGCCAAGGCCACGTGCCTGACCTCCTCAGCTGCAGTCCCCTCCCCAGGCCACCAGAGAAGGCGCAGCTGTCCCTCCTGAGAGGCGGGTGGGAGGAGGGTGACAGAGTGTGAAGTGTCCTGGAGATGAACGCCCAGTGCTGGGGAGCTTAGTCACTGGGCTTCTCAGCTGTTGCCCTGCTGAGGTTCTCAGAGTCCCAGGCAACAAGGTAAACAACCCTAATATAGTAGAAGAGGACAGACACCCCATTTCTCACCTCCCAAGGCAGTCAGAAGGCTCCCAGCACAGCGCACGGACTTCCAGCGCCAGAGCTGCTGCTCTCAGAACTGCCTCCTCCCATCCACGGACTCAGCGGGGAGGGCTTGTTGGCAGCCTGCACAGCTGCTCTGGTTGGGCAGACAGCCCCTCCTTTCTCTGGAGGGGAGGGGGTAGGGCAGGCAGTGGTGTCCTTTAGGATTTTCAGCTGGAAGATCTGAAAAACAGTTCTCTGCTAAGCGGGTAGGGATTGGGGGGTTAGGGGCAGGGACCCAAGGTCAGGCTGCATGTAGGGTCAGAGCAAGTCTGTGCACCCTCCAGTGCTCTCTGGGGAGGATCCAGGACAAGAAGCATCACGTGGTGACGCCAGCACTCCCTTGGGCCTCCTTCTAGAACATCTGTGGCCCCAGGTCAGATGCTGATTGGCCACAGGTCCAGGGTTTAATATAGAGGTTTTGTTTTGTAAGGTTTTGTTTGATCTTTTAATTATAAACAAATGCAGGCTCATTAGAAAAGAATTCAGATAAGACCAAAACAAGCAAAAGTCTCTCTGTTTCCCAGTCCTATTCGCAGGGGTAACCGCCCTTTGACACTAATCTTTCTAGACTTGTTATGCATCTATAAACTGTAGTTGTTTCTCATTAAAAGGAGATCTACTCTAGAGGTGGTTCTGTACCACGTTTCTCACGCACTAGTATTTCAGGGAGATTTCCTTGTTGGCACACGTACGTCTGTCTTGTGCTTTTTTACAGCCAGTGTAAGTTCTTATCCTAGTCAGTGGATGAATTCATAGGATCCATGAGCTCCTGGAACTTTATTGTGAAGTCTATATGTGTGTTATGTGGATGGGTGCACTCACATTTCTGATGGGGAAGGGTCCACATCATTTATCAGATTTTCAAAGGGATCTGTGCCCCAAACAGGGTTATAACTATTCATTTGAGAACATCTGGCTCGAGCGTAGAGTTATGGGAGCCTCCTTTTGACTCTGCCACTGATCTGGGGTAGTGTGGCCTTGGCCATGTCAAGCCACTGAGCACCTGCTCTGTGCCAGATGCTCTGCTGGGGGCTGGAGACAGGGTGTGGAATCCACACGCCTGACCTAAAGGAGCTCGGTTTGTAACGGGATGGACGTTTACATGGCATAAAGACGGTGGAAGCAGCCATCAGTCAGGGACACAGACAAGGTAGGCCTGGACAAGTGTTTAGAAGGAAAATGGAATGAGGACCAAGGGGAGAATATCTCAATGGTGATGAGGAAATAGGGGGGAAAGCTCTTTTATTGGACTACTGTGTGCCCAGTACTGTGGTAGTCAGTGTCACGTATTTTATGTTCCTGGGATCTTTAAAAGAACTTATAGAATTGCTGTCATCCCCTTTTTTACTGATGAAATAAAACGGGATATGAATAGTAAAGAAAACAAGAGGGGAGAGTTTCAAGAAGGAAAAAGTGGTCCCCCAGTGTCAAGTGTGCGGGCAATTAAGTGGAGGGAAGTGGCTTGTGGATTCGGCAGTTAAGTGATGGCTGACCACGCTTCCACCTGGGTATGCTCCTGAATGTATGTAAAAACGTGCAGGATGTAAAAGCCAATACGCCTGGAAGGGCCTTCAGTGGGGCAGGGTAGCTGGCAGCTCTGGAGTTAGGCTTCCCCGACCAGAATCCCAGCTCAGATACTTTAAACCCAGTGACCTTGGGCAGGTTCCTTGTCAGGCTTCATATTTCTTCTCCGTAAAATGGGGATAGTGAGAATACCGCCTGATGGGCTGTTGTAAGGTGTCAATACCTAACACTTATAACGTGCTTAGAGCAGTGCCTGGCATGTGTTAAGTGGGCGTTAAATATTAGTTCTCATTAGCGTCTCATCACAGTCAGCCCCTCCCTTTATGGCTGAGGACACTGAAGTTCAGAGAGGGGAGGTGGGCCAGACAGGTAGATGGCCTGGACTAGAAGCCCCGTGTGCTTTCTCCCTAAAGTCCTGAGGGAGCTTTAGCCCAGCTCTCCCTAGGGCTGGCACAGACTTCTAAAGCATCTTGTGTTTTGAAGTGTCCCCTCCGACCCCTTTGGTCTGGTGACTGGGAATGTTTTTAACATTTCTAGGACACTCTAGAGGACTTATGGATTTCTTAAAAGTTAAAGGAGAGGTTCCCAAACTTTCTTGGTTCACAGCCTTAATGTCTCAGTAATTTTTTTGTGTGTGTGAGGAAAATTAGCCCTGAGCTAACATCCACTGCCAATCTCCCTCTTTTTTGTGGAGGAAGATTGGCCCTGGGCTGACATCCATGCCCATCTTCCTCCACTTTATGTGGGATGCCTGCTACAGCATGGCTTGACGAGCGGTGCGTAGGTCCGCGCCCAGGATACGAACCTGTGAACCCCGGGCCACTGCAGCAGAGTGCACGAACTTAACCGTTAACGCCACCAGGCCAGCCCCTCAGTAATATTTTTTTCATGGCACTCCAGGCCAAAACAAGCACCTAACAGTTCCATTTATTAAATAGTTAGGTCAGATAATGTTTTTATCTTAACAACCTAACATCCATTTGAATGATAATGCACATAAGTTGAAAGAAAAATGTTTCTTCTATTCTTAAACCACCATAATTACTGAGATGTATGCCTTCTTGGGCACCACACAGCTTCTCCAGCTTTGAAATCAGATTGGACACCATCACCTTCATTTCCTGCTCCACATTTTCCCCCTGAAGTACTTTTTATCACAGCAGCCTGCAAAAACCTAGCTTCGTAAAGATGTATGATCAAAAGGAATGCAGCGCGATCTACTGTTGAAACTGAACTGTGTCGAGCTGGCAGTTGACGCGGTGTCCTGCAGATGTCATGATCCTCGCTGTTTCCCTCAAATGTAAAATATCATGAGTTCTCTGCGGGGCCTTGAGGTTTGGGCCCCCACAGTTTGGGAGCAGTAGGGTTAAAGACATTTGCTAATACAAGTCCTGTTGGTGAATTAGTTCCAACTCAAGTTCAGAGCCGGAAACACTGACAAAGAGTCAAAGTTCATGCAAGTTGATTAACCAAACCAGATATTCTTTAAGTAACCAGAAGAAAGACATTTTCCACTGATAGGCAAAAGTCCAAAAGCCCCACGTCGTCAGAGCTCCCGTTTGCCAAGTCAGCGGTCTCCAAGGGAAACTGCCAGGTCCTGACTGATTTCTTCCAGGCTGCTTTTGTTACCACTGGCGCCCCCTGGTGGTACCTCCCAAGGCTAACATGAGAACCAGCAACAGCCAGAAAGGAGGACGTCTCTGTTAGGCAGGCTAAGCTTTTAAATAAGCTGCTCTTATTTGAGCTGGAGGGAGGAGGTGGAGAGCTAGCATTTCCTGAGCATGCACTGGTTGCCAGGCCAGGTGCTGGTTACCATCCCTCCGAATCCTCACTGTACCCAGGAGCAGAAGTCAGTGTCCCCACCATTCACATATGGAAATACAGCTTAGGGGAATTCATCTACTTTTGGAAGTGGCCTAGCCGGGGTCGCAGCCCAGGATCTATGTATCCAAGGCCTATTTCTTCCCGCCATGCCATGCTGGTCCATGCAGAAAGGAGTGGGTGGTCCCAGGGCTGCCAGTCCATGGTGGGAGGGGGCCTTGGCCAACCCCCTCCCCAGAAGCCACTCCTGTGCCCAGATGCTGGGGAAACAGCTGCAAACAGAATAAACAAACACTGCCCCATCTATGCGGACATTTTAGTCCTCAGGGGAGAAGACAAATAATTATGAGTTGAGAAGGGTGCTGAGGATCCAGAGGCACTGACAGCCAGAATCTTGGCACATCAGCTCTGGCTTCAGATAAGTCAGAAACCCACAATCTGAAACGTAGACATGGGTGTTGATAAATAAAAGGTCCCATGTCCTAGAAATTGCCCACAGATTTGGGCTGGGGAAAAAAATGTTCTGTGTTTGGCAGATTTGAGGGTGGGCTGCTAGCATGCCAGGAGCCTGGATAAGGACTGTAGTTTTTGTGTGACTGTAAGTGTTTTTGCACATCAGCACTCAGAGCTTTAATCAAGTACTGGGAATTGCCCTTGACCCCAAGGGCGTGAGGGACACAGTTTAGTGTCTGAGGGCCCTGCCAGACCTCGGAATCGTCACTGGGAACCTCAGCGGTCTCTGTGCATGGAGCACCAAGGGTCCTGACAGGATGCCAGGGAGCCAGCCCTGGGCCCTCACCCTGACTCGCAGCCACCTCTGGGCCCTTCCAGGTGCGAGTCGAAGTGTTTCGGGCAGAGGAGTTGATGGCGTGTGCAGGATTGACCTCGCCCAGAATTGTCCCTTTGTATGGAGCTGTGAAGGAAGGTCCTTGGGTCAACATCTTCATGGAACTGCTAGAAGGTAAGGAGCCGGGTGCCACTCTTTCTCCCTGAAATTCAGAGCCAGGGGTTTCCCCTACTCTTGCCCAGGTTGACCTTGGTTCCCAGTCAGTCCGTTTTTAACCTCTTGACCCTGTGACATCGGCAGGAAAGGCCTGCTTTCCACCACCTGCCCTTCAAGGCCTTTGCCCTTGGCTTGCTTGGAGGCCTGGAAAAGCCCCATGTAAAGACTGGCTATTGGTCTCCTAGGTGGCTCGCTGGGCCAGCTCATAAAGCAGAAGGGCTGTCTGCCAGAGGACCGGGCCCTTTACTACCTAGGCCAGGCTCTGGAAGGGCTGGAATACCTCCATACCCGAAGGATTCTGCACGGAGATGTCAAAGGTGAGGCTCAGGCCCCCACAGCCCTGGTCCCCATTGAGCTCCTTTCTCACCCCATCCTGCCTGATTTCCTCCAGATTTTCTGGGCCTGGCTGGTCGTCTCCAGTGGCAGGGCCTGAGTCAGGCCAAGAGGGCTGTGCCAGGGGAAGGGGAAGAGTGTTCTCCAGGCCCTCAGCCTGGCACTGTAGTTTCCAGTGGGTGGTGCCCACAGAGAACTACAGATGGAGCTCCCACACATTGGTGACCACTTTGGGGGGGGGTGGCGTCCCCAGGAGTAAGCTCTGCTCCTGTCCCCTCACCCTCGGCGATCCTGCCTGCTGCCTGCCTCTAGCCTGAACCGATACCCTCCTCCCTTCCTCCATGACTAATGAAACTAATCAGAAACAGCAGCTGCCGTGTAGGGTCAGCCAGAAAATTGCCTCACTGGAGGTCCAGATTGGGCTGGGGCCCGACGTGACTCACCTGTTCCTCTTCTTCCCGGGGGGCGGCCTGGCAGCTGACAATGTGCTGCTGTCCAGCGACGGGAGCCGTGCCGCCCTCTGCGACTTTGGCCATGCTGTGTGCCTTCAACCTGATGGCCTGGGGAAGTCCTTGCTCACAGGTAAGCCCCCCTCCCTGCCCCTCCTCAGGATGACAGTAGCCAATGGCCTTTACTAAGCATTAGCCGTGTGCCTTCTCCTGTACTTTCCATAATGGCAACCAGAGACGAGAGCACTTTACGTCCACCATTCTGTTTCAGCCCCACAACCACCCTCGGTTATCATAAGGCTTTGTTGTTAAGCTTAAATGCAGTAGGGCATGCCAGGTGCTCATTCCTGATGTTCCTGTTACACAGAGAAGGGAACGGAAAGGCTGGGTGCCTCGCCCTAGGTCCCAGGTCTTCTGCCTTGGAGCCCCCATGGCTCCACTCCTGTTGGTCAGCCTTACTGGCAGAGCTGTGCTCCCAGCCTGGGACCTCAGCCCTCCTGCGCCTCTGAGAGCACAGTTTCAGGAAGCACAGTGGGGAGGCTGACCAAGGGGCCTGGGCTCTGTCACTGGAGAAATGTCTATTCTTAACTTATATTTTTCTGATTATTAAAATAATCCATGCCCATTGTAAAATATTTGGCAATTATAGAGTTAAGTGGTATAGAAGGAGAGGAAAAAAAGAATTCTCACCATTCCTCTTGCCCAGAGAGATAATCATGAATATTTTAGATAATTCCTTCCAGGTCTTTTTTTCTTTTTTTTTCTGTACATAGTTAAGGCCATTATAACACGATTTTGTGCCTTGCTTTTTTCATTTATAGCATTAAGCATAAAATGATTTCATTTTGACCGAAGGGAAAACAATCTTTTAGAAGGGATTCTTTGTTGCTAAAACACTGAGTTGATAGTTCTAAATATGTAAACTGAACATGGACACCTGACCTCCACTTCAAAATATCTTTAGTGTTTTTTTTCTTATATAAAAGTAATTTCTGGGGCTGGCCCGGTGGCACAAGCGGTTAAGTGCACGCGCTTCACTGCGGCGGCCCGGGATTCACTGGTTTGGATCCCAGGCGCGCACTGACGCACCGTTTGGCAAGCCATGCTGTGGCAGCGTCCCATATAAAGTGGAGGAAGATGGGCATGGATGTTAGCCCAGGGCCAGTCTTCCTCAGCAAAAAAAGAGGAGGATTGGCAGATGTTAGCACAGGGCTGATCTTCCTCACAAAAAAATAATAATAATAATAATTTCTAATATCTTGTAGAAAGTAGAGCTAAACAAAAATAAAAAATACAAATCACCAGAAAAAATACTGTTAACATCTAGTATCAATCCTCCTAGTCTTCTATTCATGTAAGTTTTCTAATATTGTGTTTTTCACTTACTAAAATTTCAGGAACATCATACCATTAATTAGTCTTCTACAACCTAATTTTCAATGTCCAGGCCCTTCCCTATTTTTAAAAAGCACTTCAAGATTGTTCCACAGGACAGAGCCCGTATTTTGGATGATGTATTCTTTGTACCAGTCCCCAACAGACTCCCCGACTTAGCTCATCCCCAGCAAGTTTGATGTGGAGGTTTTATCTCTATTTAAAATAAGAGACAGATTCACAGTATCTCAGGAATTGACTGGTGTGGTCATTGCCGAGGCTGTTGCCTGTCAGAGTTCACAGTTGACTTTTCTGTCTCGCCTCGCCTCCCCAGGGGACTACATCCCTGGCACAGAGACCCACATGGCTCCAGAGGTGGTGATGGGCAAGCCCTGTGATGCCAAGGTGGACGTCTGGAGCAGCTGTTGCATGATGCTGCACATGCTCAACGGCTGCCACCCGTGGACCCAGTACTTCCGAGGGCCGCTCTGCCTCAAGGTCGGTGACAGCACAGGGGAAGGCCAGGAGGGAAAGCCAGTGGGGCCATGGCACCGGGCTGCAGGCTTGAGGTGGCCTCCCATTTGGCTTTTCCTCAGTGACAGATGTGAGCAGGGAGCAGGGCGAGGCCTCATCATAAATGTGGGATCCTAACTAAAATACTTGCCACCCGAATCTGGGGTTCCAAAGGGAGATCCCAGGTGAGGGGTCTCCTTGAGTTCCTGGCAAGTCAGGGCTCTCTTGCGTCCATACCACCTCCATCTGCCTCCTGACAGGCTGGGCCTGGAGGTCATGGGCACCTTGCTCCCTGGCTCCGGACTGTCCTACTTGGCCCCTTTTTCCCCTTTTCTTGAAGTCCCAGCCCTCACTCTAACCCAAGCTGCTCCAGTCCTTGTGGCAGACCCCAACACAGCAGGGTGGGGGAGAGTGGGGAGGAGCAAGCACAGAAGGTGGGTGCTGGAAAGCGAGGGGGAGGCGGGCCTCACATGTTGTCTTTTGCTGCCCAGATTGCCAGTGAGCCTCCGCCTGTGAGGGAGATCCCACCCTCATGTGCCCCACTCACAGCCCAGGCCATCCAGGAGGGGCTGAGGAAAGAGCCTGTCCAGCGAGCGTCTGCGGTAGAGCTGGGGGAAAAGGTCAGCCTGGCACTGCAGCATGGTAAGAGCCTGTGCTGGCTGCAGGGGGCGGGAGAGACCACAGGGCTGTGTAGTGATCGAGAGCAAGGTACTCGACCCCTCAGAGCCTTAGTTTCCCATCTAGAGCATGGAGATGACACCAGCTTCAGGCTTGTTGGGAAGATTGAGGTGATGGGAGTAAAAGTGCGGAGTACTCTGCCTTGATGCAGAGCACAGAACAGCCTGCCTGGGCCTTAAAACCGCAGTGCTGGGTCAAAAGAGGCCCAGCAGAGAACACAATACCTTTTATTTATTTTTTTTTTTTTTTGAGGAAGATCAGCCCTGAGCTAACATCCACTGCCAATCCTCCTCCTTTTCCTCCCCAAAGCCCCAGTAGATAGCTGTATGCCACAGCTGCACATCCCTGCAGTCGCTGTACGTGGGACGCGGCCTCAGCATGGCTGGAGAAGCGGTACATCGGTGCGTGCCCGGGACCCGAACCCGGGCTGCCAATAGCAGAGCACGCACACTCGACCGCTAAGCCACGGGGCCGGCCCAACACAATACCTTTTATAAATGAAAAATTGATAAATAAAAACAACACACACTTTTGAAGAATGTGGTCAAACCCAAAGTGACACATCGGACATAACAGACTGTCACCTGGGGGCTGGGCAGGGGAAAGGCAGTGGTTATGGGAATGACAAGGGAGTAAACAGGAGAAAGACCTTGCAGAGTCCCCCAGACATAGATGAGAGTTATACTGGCCCTGGGGCTGAATGCCCCCCACTCCAGAGAAATGGTGCCCTCAGGAAGCACTGACTGTGGGGAGGGAGGGGTAGGAGAGACGGAGGGTCAGGGACGCCAGTTTACCTGGGAACTCTGAGTTGGTGTCACCCCAGAGTTGGTGTCACCCCAGAGCTGTTTTTAAATGTTCTGTTTATTATTAACATTAACAAAGTCCTTCTCTGGAGCCAATTCAGTAATTTTTAAGTTTGCAGTTGGTTACCTAGAAGGAAAATGGGATAAAAGACAGAAATCTTGTCCTTTTCCCGTTATAGGAGGCCATCTTATGGAAGACGCCTCCTCCAGAGACCACAAGCTTCCCTCCTGAATTGTGTCCCTTCGTGGGGGCAAGAGTCCTCCCTCACTGCTTGCTTCTAGCCTCCTCTGCTAGGGAAAGGCCACCTGGCCTGGCCTTGCGTCTGTGCTGACTCGTTTCCACCTCACCACGCGTGCTCTCTGTTTTGTAGTGGGCGGTCTGAGGAGTCCTTGGAGGGGAGAGTATAAAGAGCCAAGACGTCCACCGCCATACCACGACCACCCACCGCCAAGCCCAGCCCCCTCTCACCAGACCCTATGTGCCCAGCCCAGGGAGCTCTCGCCAGGGCCCCCGGGGCCCCAGCCAGCTGAAGACACAACAGGCAGGGCCTGCAAGCTCCAACCTCCTCTACCCCCAGAGCCCCCGGAGCGGAACAAGTCTCCGGGCCTGAACTGGGGCAAGGAGGAGTCAGGGACATGGGAACCCTTGCCTCTGTCGTCCCTGGACCCGGCCCCCGCCAAAAACCCCAGCTCGCCAGAGCGGAAATCAACCTTCCCCGAGCAGGAACTGCAGCAGCTGGAAATAGGTATGCGCAGCCGCAGCTGCGGCCTCTGGCCACCCCACCCCCCACCCCAAGGCCTGCGCTTCATCCTCTTTCCGGCCAGCGTGGGTTCTCTTCCAGCCCCTTCCCCAGAGGTCGGCTCCTGCAGTCCGCACGGGAAGAACCCTGACGGCACAGCCGGACCCCTCCCAGTCTTGCACAGCCGTCTTCTGCTCTTCTCTGCAGAATTATTTCTGAACAGCCTGTCCCAGCCGTTCTCTCTAGAGGAACAGGAGCAAATTCTCTCGTGCCTCAGCGTTGACAGCCTCTCCCTGTCAGATGACAGTGAGAAGGTGAGTTGGCCGTGGACCAGGAGCCAGGGCACAGAGCAGGTGGCTTTGTGTCCAGCTGGTGAACAGGCTGTGGGCAAGTAGTGGGTAAAGAGAGCATGACAGGGTCACCCCATCCTTCTGGGAGGGGTCCTCCCAGGGGCAGGGAGTCCTGTTTTCTCACAGTGAGACAGTCCATCTTCAACACGCTAGGAATCAGGAAATGGATTCGCTCCTAGGGATAGTAGGGAAGAGGCCTAGGCTTTGGTCTCCATAGAAATACCCCTCACTCTTCCTCCAGCCCAGAGCCCCTCACAAGCTCAGCCCCCTGCTTAGCCTCAAAAGTGCCCAGTAGATGTAAAAAAAAAAAAAAAAAAGTGCCCAGTAGAGCCATGCTCTAGTCTAGGACATGAGCGGTTCCTCACCCCGGGGGAGGGCCCAGGACCCCTTTGCCCCAAATCAGACCAAGGCCAGGATGGTTCCCTGAGCCCAGGGCCCTGAGTCTGTGCCCACCCTTGTTGTTTCAGAACCCGTCAAAGGCCTCTCAGAGCTCACGGGACACCCTGAGTTCTGGCGTGCACTCGTGGAGCAGCCAGGCAGAGGCTCGAAGCTCCAGCTGGAACATGGTGCTGGCCCGCGGGCGGCCCACCGACACACCGAGCTATTTCAATGGTACAGTCCAACACCACCTGCTCAGCCCCCACAGCACCTGATCCGCTTGGGACTAGGGAGTCTGAGAGGTTTATGTCTCCCCTTCCCTGACAGAGTGGGGCAGTGAAGGACCGTTGCCCCTCATTGGCTACGGATGGAGTCCCAGAATGTCCCCAGCTTGGGGTGGAGAGCAGTCTCTCCTGGCCTGGAATCAAGAAACTGAGCAGTGAATGTCTTCTGAAGGGAAAGGGAAGAACAGGACCCCATGAGCACTTTAATCAAGAATTCAGCCACACGTTTGCTGGGATCCTGCTCTGGGATTTGGAGTCAGAATTTGAGAGAGACAGCATCTATAGAACTTCTTAGTTTTCAAGCTCGGCTGCATAGCTTATGTTGTGATTTTGGTAGACCAGGGCTTCATCAGCTCACAGGTCCCTGGCCCTCCCCCGGGGCCAGTGTGACTCATGGCATCAAGCCACCATGGCCTGGCCAGTGGCCACTCCAGCTCGGGGCACATTACAATCTAAGTTGCCCACAATGTAATTTGCTTCCAGTTTTTTCCTGCTTTGTGTGCAAGTTGAAATACTACTTCCCCATAGGAGCCAACCTTAGCTCTTTGCAGTGTGCAGGCCAAATGCCAGGTGCAGCTAACGGGTGTATAACATTAGGGCCACTCAGCCTAAATGTCATCCCTGTAGCTTCCTCACAGCCAACCTGCTTCCCTCCATATAGGGCTCCTTAGGGAGCCAGCTGCCGCTCTCGTGATGGTTACCTTGCCTGCCTTCCAGGTGTGAAAGTCCAAATACAGTCTATCAACGGTGAACACCTGCACATCCGGGAGTTCCACCGGGTCAAGGTGGGAGACATCGCAACTGGCATCAGCAGCCAGGTAAGGGGGCAGGCACACGCTTCGGGGCAGAGCCCCAAAAGCCAGTGCACCTGGCCCAGCCCTCCAGGAGGAAGGCTTTTAAATAAGTAGAAATCGCTCCCTAAGGAATACTTGGTCTTGGATGTCCCCCAGGGTCTCAGGGCAAGACTGGCAGTGGTGATTGAGGGGTCCTCAGGACCCACATTTGGGTCAGGTGAGATTCTCCAAGTCCTCCAGAATGAAAGGCAGATAATGCCCTGAGGGGTGCCTACTTGTCTGGAAGGAGGTGTCTTCCAGCGCAGGAGGCGACTGTCACCTTTACACTTCTGAGCCCCGTGCCACTGTCTCAGGCCCACTGGTTTGCTCTTCCCCCAGATCCCGGCTGCAGCCTTCAGCTTGGTGACCAAGGATGGGCAGCCTGTACGCTATGACATGGAGGTGCCAGACTCGGGCATCGACCTGCAGTGCACCCTGGCCCCTGATGGCAGCTTCGCCTGGAGCTGGAGGGTCAAGCATGGCCAGCTGGAGAACAGGCCCTAACCCAGCCTTCTGCTACTGGCTCCACTCTGCCAGAAGCAGCCTTCCTTCTCGGTGCTCAGTGCTACCCCTGAGACACAGGCTCAGCCTGCTCCCAGGGACCTGCCACCCCCTGGCTCAGCAGTGGGATCAGGGGCTAGCAGCGGCAAAGTAGGAGCCAGCAAAACGCCTCCCAGGATTTCCCACCTGAGTGCTGCCTGACCCCACCAAGAGAACGCCCCATGCCCACATGAGGAGGAGGAGGAAGGCAGGAGGCCTCTTCCCACAGGGAACAGAGGGGTCCTCTCTGCCCTGGTCCAAACAAGCTGGCCTGACCTATTGGATCAGTGACCACTTGCTGGCAGTCAGGGGAGAGTAGCTTCCGGGCTGTGTCTGGGAGAGGTGGGAGAGCCCCTCGGCCTCCAGGCACGTGTGAGGGTGGCGGGTGTCTAAGGACCCACATCCAGGTCCAGTACAGGAGCGGGGCGGCAAGTGTGCCTGCCCTTGGACTAATGGGGGCCCTCTGACCCCGTGTCTGGCCGTCACACCCCCTTTTAGATCTAGGAACTCTTCAGACGAAGTCAGGGAGGGTGGGATGCTGACACTGGGACGTGTCCCTAGGAGGATGCACCACACTTTTCAGGATGTTGCAACACAGGTCCTGAGCTGAATTCAGCTTCAGTCAAGGACCAAAGAAGGTGTTGAAGTGAAGTGGTTCTCAGTCCCCAAGCACGTGCCCCTTTGCTGCTGGCCACCACTCTTCACGAGAGCGGCAGCCCCCAAGCCCCACCTGCAGGCCCACACGGCTGCTGACTGGCTGGCACTCGGTTCCCCCGTCGGTAAAAGTAAAGGGGACCGACCGCAAGACCCACCTGACGGGACCGGTCTGAGGGGGGGCGTGATAGAGGCGAAAGAACGCGGCGCTACTCTTCTGCGGCCACGGCTTCAACATCTTGCACACCAGCTTCCCCACACCCGGCTCAGGCACCACACCACACTGACCCTGCCCTGCCCTTGGCCTCGGGGCACTGCCAGCTGCACTTTGCACTCTGATGACCTCAAAGCACTTTCATGGCTGCCCTCCAGGAGGGCAGGTCAGTGGCTCTGCATGAGCACAGCAGGCCAGGAGATGGGGTGAAGGGACACAAGTCTTGACCTATCTCCATGCGTGTAACCTTCAAATCTGCTGATTTCTATTAGATGAGTCCCCCCATCCCCATTGCCTCAGCCCAGCCTCTTCTTCGGGGGGTGCTGATCAGGACTCATGTAGCATTAATCAACTGTGAATCATTGAGGGGTGAGGAGCCTGCTAGCCTTAGCGTCTGGGGATCGGGGGGGTTGTCCCTTGAGATTCCTCCTTGGGAGAAGCTCGTCTCCACATCTGTCCAGCTGTACACATGGAGCCACACTGCTCCCCAGGGAGAGACCCCCCCAGCCCCCATGACGGGAAGAACTGGGTATTACAAGCAGCGGGCGGGTTGGTATTACAGAGTTCGGGTTGTAGAGAACTCTTTATAAGCAATAAAATTTGCAGTGATGATATGTTTTCAGGCCATGGCTGTCTCCACTCGCGCCTGCCTGCTTGCTGAAGCTCAGATCCTAACAGCTGCCTCCCTTTGCCTTCTGGGTGGGATCTTGTCAAGTCTGCCCCTTGTTTGGGGCAAGGACTGTTTTCAGCCTTTGAATGGGCTGCTTTTCCCACCACTCCTCCCAGTGAGGACTTCCAGTCCCACCTCTGGGCTATCCATTCAGACCAGTTAGGCAAGATGCCCCACCTGGTGGCAGCAGGGAAGTCCCTGGTCAAACACTGCCAGGCTGAGGGGAGGAAGAGGAAGACGCCAAGGCCTGGGCACTGACCAGGCGCTGCTAGGTGGGAGCATAGCACATGCCCAGAAGAAAGCCTGCCAGACACCCCCCCTCCTGTCCCTGAGGACTGGCTTCCCGGGAACTGGACTGGGCCTGGGCCTGGCCTAGCCCTTCTGCTGCCTCCTGAGTGCCTGCAAGGGATCTGGGCTGACTTGGAGTGGGTTTCTTGGTCATGGGGCAAGGGCCTCTCTGAGGATAGATGCCACCAGTACACAGGGACCTTGTCTAATCTGGCTCCATGCCCCCTGAAGCTTGCACAAGTATGTGTGTGCACAACACACATGCAACACCTTGGGGTAAAGACGCCAGGTTCAGCAGGTTCTTGGAGGGATCTTGGGCACATGGAAGGGGCAGCGGCCTTGTACCAGTGTGCCCAGAGCAGGCACAAAGACCAGTCCCGCAGACTCCAGGCTTACCAGTTGCTGCCCTCCTCACTGCTCAGGGCCTGCTGCAGAGGAGTGGAACCTCCCACCTGGAGGTGTTCAGAGAGGGGCTCCGGGCTGCGGATGCGGCCGCCTTCTCCAGAAGATACCCCCACACACAACGGCCCTGCCCACCTACGCTCTGGGAATCCTGAGCGCTGCTCCCTCCCAACCGGGTGCGCAGCAGGGATGTCACAGAGGCGGCGACATCACAGACGCTGGCGTCCCCACCATCTCCACCGCCCCCACAGCCCCCAACCAAAGAGCGCGCTGGAGGCGGAGGGGCAGCAGCCACCAGCCCGCTCCCCGCCTCCCCGACAGAGCCTCGGTCAGCATGGGGGTGACAGGTGGGAGCGGGCGGGCGCGCGGCGGGGGGGTGGAGGGGGTGGAGAAAGTGAAAGTGAGGGGACGGGGCGCAGAGGCGGCAGGGAATCGACCGGGGCCCCGCCCCTGCTCCCGAAGCCACGGCGCCTGAAAGGAAGGTTAACTCCAGCCGAACCCCTCGCCGTTCCCGCGGGGGTGAGGGGCGGGTGCTGCCCTGACTGCCACACCCAGCCTCTGCCCTGCGCAGCGCAGGAACGTGTGTGTGCACGGCCCACAGGCACACCTTGGGGTAAAGGGTGCAGATTCAGCGGGTTCTTGGAGGGAGGCTGGGCACGCAGAAAGAGCCTTGTGCCCAGGTAACGACTCATGAATTATTCCAAACTGCAGATGACGCCCTAAATCACGTCCAGTTGTCCCTAGTTGACGCTTGGAGCTTTGGCGGGGAGAAGCAATCCGCTTCAACAGATATCTACTGAGCGCCTCCTTTTGTGCTCTGCGCTCTTTGTAGAGACGTTTGAGCAAAGACGTTTGCCCTCAGGGCCCTGGGTCTCTCAGGTTTCTAATGATGTGGGCTCAGATCCCCACCGACATGGGGGCTTTCTTCTCCAGGACTTCTCTCCCAAAAGGACATGGGCCAGCATTCAAAATGTGCGAGGAAACAACCACCAGAGAGCAGCTTTTCCCCTTTCCCAAATAAGTGGGGTAACAAATTTATGCAGACACCTTAAATCAGTCCTGCAACATTTACTGCACCTCCTTCAGGGCTTACTGTTGTGCTAGGCCCTGAGTCTGATAAGTTGACTAAAAATTAAAATGTAGGTTGGACAGCTAGGTATGTCACAGAGCAGATGACACTGGAGATTTGAGTTCAACTGTCAGGCATGAGTAGGATTTTGCCAGAAGAGAGACTTTCTGGGTATTGGAAATAGCATGTGCAAAGGCGCTGAAGCCCACAAGGGCCTGCCATGCTGTGGAGTGGCTGGGCTTGGTACAAGGCAGGGACCTGGGTACCAAGAGATGAAAAAAGAAGGCAGACATCAGACCACACAAGATCTTTGAGACCACCCTAGAATCTGGACGTGAGTAGAAGCAAGTGTGACGCGGCAGGCTCACTCTGGGGTCACTGAGAAGCCCAAGTTGGAGGTGAATATGGCTGCAGTGGTCCAGCTAGAGGCCTAAAGAGACTTCAGACAGCACAGTGGTGAGCATCACAGGGTTTGGAGCCAATCAGACCTGTGTTCAGGTTGTGGGACTGCTCTTGCACTGTGACTTTGTGCAAGTTTCCTCATCTGTGAGAGAAGAGTTGCGACCGTTTGTGCATAAAGTGACTGTGAGGATTGAATGTGTGCAAAGAACTCAGCACTGAGTGCCAGCAGGTAGTAAGTGCTAGGTTTGTGTTGACTTTGGTGTTGGGCGATGAGGAGGAGGCAGGCGGCGGAGGTGGAGACAGGGATGTGCACATGGTCAGCGTCAGGGGTAGGATGCTCAGAAGCTGGGGAGTGGGGGGGTCACAAAGGACCCAGGTTTCCAATTTGGGCGATAGGGTGAAGGATGAATCAGGGAGAAGGGAGAAGGTGTTATCAAGAGGTGAGAGATTGGAAAGAAAGACGGGTCAGACATGCAGAACCGTGTTGGCCACACTAGAGTCTAGACACACAGGATGTGAACTTGAGGTAAGAAATGGAGGAAAAACCACAGAGTTTGGTGGGTGAGAGGGATAAGGAATTCATTTCTTTGCACAGACTTGTCCTGAGCATCCACCTTATGCCAGACTCTCTGTGCAGGGGATCAGAGATTCAAAGTGAGCAACCCACACACCCTGCCCACCTCTGATTGTGGGTCAGCAAGAGGCTGTGCGCTCAGATAGAGATCTGCAGGGGTGGAGTGGGGGCGCCTGGAGGAGGAGCTGGTAGCCCAGCACCACGGGATAGAGTCTGGCAGGTCTCCAGGAAGAGATGAGCCCTGGGCATCATCACAATAAGAAGCAAGGGGATTCCAGAGAGAGGAGACAGCTCAGGCTCTGACGAGGGACTCGTAGTGTTTTGGTCAAGGTGAATTTGAGGTCCCTTTAGGGAGAAATGTGTATTTGATGACAGCAGTTTGAGTCTAGAGCTCAGGAGAAGTGAGAGTAAAAAACAGAGATTGGAGAGTCTCCCGTGGTCACAGTCACAGGCTCGAAAGCTCCAAGGAAACACTCAGCCCCCAGCTCCTAGCTGGGGCTCAACATTTTCTTTTAACTTTATCAAACAACTATATGCGTATGATTAAATAGTACTTAAGAGCTTATTCAGTGATGAAAAGCAAGAATCCCCTACACCACACCCCTAGTCTCATTCATCAGAGCAACCACAGTTGTTTCATTTGAACTGTTTTTCTGCCTCATTACCTTCTTCTCTCTCTACAAGCTCACAGGCTTTTTCTTGGTTTATCACTTCTAGATATTACCACCCTCCCCCAAGCTCTCAACATCATTTTTAGATCTGCTGATACCTTTGTAAGTTTAATATACTTATATCTTCATTTTCTCATCAACTTTTGACACCCTACAGCATAAGATGAAGTTTTTAGCGCTCCTACCTTTCCCTTCAACTTTCCTCCCTGCCTTCCACCTCCCAAATACTCTAACCTGTCTTTTTATTTTTTTAATATCAAGGTTATGATAATCACAATTATATTTTCCAAATTTTGTCTATATGTTGATTCTGAAAGTTGAAAGTTAGTAAAGAGGATTTACAGTACTGTGGCTACATAACTACTGTTCACTGCAGAGCCAGAAAAGGTACCACAGTTACCTTTTCTTTCTCATACAGCTTTTTGTTTTTCCTGGAGTTTATAGTTGCCTTTTCCTTGTACTGTTTGGTTTTATCCTAGTCTTAGTTTTCTTCAGCCTCTACATCTAGTCAACTATTCTGTCAGGTTTTCTTTATTTCAGAGATCTACTGCCCAGGACCCTCCATCCTCTTGTACCAATGTGTACTGGTTCTAGGCCTCTATCCTGGGACTTAGCTGCTTTCCTGGGGTAGACACACTATTTCCTTCCTGTCTCTCTTGTTTTATACCTTTATTTTGCTTTAGCACATCCTCAAATAACTTCCTAAAAAAAGACAAGGTAAATTTTCTGAGTCTTTCCATGTTGAAATGATAGTTTGGCTAGATATAAAATTCTAGGTTAAAAAACATTTTCCTCAGAATTTTAAAGGCAGCAATTATTGCTAACTCTGCTGCCAGTAGGATTCTCCTCCCTTTGGGTGGTGACTGGTTTTTCCACTTTAGAAGTATTTGGGCATTTTTTGTTCCTGGTGCAATGACCTTTCACAACAAGGATCTTTTGACATCTGTAGTGCTGGGCATTCAGAGAACCATTTTAAGCCAATGACATCCTTCAGCTCAGGGAATTTTTTACTTCTCTTTTCTTCTCCATGTTCTCTATTCTTTTAGATCTCCTTTCTATAACTCATAAATGGACTTCCTATTGATCCTTTTTTCTCACATTGTCCTGATATTTTGGTTCCACTTTCTCAGAAGATTCTTTGTGTTTTATTTTCCAATTCTATTTGCCAAAAGAGCACTTTCTTTTCTCTAATTTTTTTAAATAGCATCCTGTTCTTGTTTTTTGGATGCAATGTATATTATTGAATATCTTCATCTCTGAATCTCTGAAGATGATTAGAGATTTTCTTTAAGCTCCCTTCTGTTTCCCAAATTACCTCTGGTACTCTGAAGTCATCTTCTCTCTTGACCTGTCACTTGCATGCTGGCAGTCTCTTCAAATGTCTGGTGATGCTTGGTTGTCCATGTTTAAGAGTGAAATCATAAAAAGCTGACTGGGAGCCTGTGACTACAGGACTTATTGTCTAGCAGATGTCACTTTAGGGTGATCAGGCAGGAACCAGACATATCTCTAGGTGGTTCAAGAACAACAACGAAATTGACAAATCTCTAGCCAAACTCAACAGGAAAAAAAGAAAGAAGACAAAAATTACCAACATGAGGAATGAAAGAGGTGATATCGTTACAGATTCTACAGATATAAAAAGAATAATAAGAGAATATTATGAATAATAAATTTGACAACTTAGATGAAATAGACAAATTCCTTAAAAAATACAGACTCACTCAAGAAGAAACAGATATTCTGGAGATAGATAGCAGTGATTGTTGCACAACAATGTGAATATACTTAATGCCACCGAGCTGTCTACTTAAAAATGGGCAGTTTTATGTTATGTATATTTTACCACAATAAAAAAGAAATAGATAGGCTAAATAGCCCTGTATCTATTTTTTAAAGTTGAATTTGTAATTAACAATCTTCCCACAAGGAAACTCCAGGCCCAGGTTCAAAAGCTTCACTTGTGAATTCTACCAAACATGAGGAAGAAATAATACCAATTTTACACAAATTTGAACAGGGAATTTCAACAGAAATTTGAACAGGGAATACTTCTCAACTCATTCTACGAAGCCAGCATTTCAAAACCTCACAAAGACATTTTAAGAAAAGAAAATTACACACCAGTATACCTCATGAACATGTATGTGAAAATTCTAAAAAGCTAGTTAGCAAATCAAATTCAACAATATATATAAAAAAAATTGGTCATCATGACCAAATGAGGTTTATCCTAGGAATGCAAGATTGATTTAGCATTTAAAAATCCATTTATTTCACCATAAACAGAATATAAAATAATTATTAACAGAATAGTATATAATATTATCCATATGTTACCATATTATAACATATATAATATATTAACAGAATATAAAAGAAAAATCATATGATCATCTCAATAAATACAGACAAAACATCAGACAAAATCCAACATCCCTTCCTAATTAAAAACTGAGTAAACTAGGAGTAGAAGGGAGTTTCCTCAACCTGATAAAGGGCATCGATGAGAAAAACTACAGTTAACATCATACTTAATGGTGAAACACTGAATGCTTTCCCCCTGAGATCAGGAACAAAGCAAGGACGTCCATTCTCGTTTCTATTCAACATTGTACTGGCAATTGTTCTCAGTGCAATAAGGCAAGGAAAGGAATTGAGAGACATCCAGATTAGGAAGGAAGAAGTAAAACTATCTTGAGTCACACACATTATTGTTTATGTAGAAAACCTTACGGAATCTTAAAAAAAAACAAAAAACTAGAACTAATAGGATTTTAGGATGGCTGCGCGATACAAGATCAATACGTTTCTATATACTAGCAATCAGCAATTGGAAGCTGAAATTATTTCACATATACAGAATGTCACTTGAATCGCTAATAGAACATTCTCAAGTTGGGCACAGAGGCCCTAAGTTGACTAAACCTCAGATTTTTGCTTCCAACCCCCAGAGCTGCTATGATGTTCACACCATAAGACTTTCTCCTCCTCTCCATGCCCCGTTGCTGTTCATGGAAGGGTTAAGGCTGTGGGTTCTGATTAAATTGCCCAGGGAAACTTTGTAACGCAAGCAAAGGATGGTTCTGAGGTCAGAAGCCCAGGGAATAGCAGCACTTGGGCAGGTGGAGATGGAGATGAAAAGAGCCATGGAGAGGAAGCCAAGGGAGCGTGGTGGTCAAAGAAGTGGAGGAGGACCGGCCCCATGGCTTAGCGGTTAAGTGTGCGCGCTCCACTACTGGCTGCCAGGGTTCGGATCCCAGGCGCGCACCGACGCACCGCTTCTCCGGCCATGCTGAGGCCGCGTCCCACATACAGCAACTAGAAGGATGTGCAACTATGACATACAACTATCTACTGGGGGTTTGGGGGGAAAAAAGGAGGAGGATTGGCAATAGATGTTAGCTCAGAGCCGGTCTTCCTCAGCAAAAAGAGGAGGATTAGCATGGATGTTAGCTCAGGGCTGATCTTCCTCACAAAAAAAAAGAGGTGGAGGGTTATGAAGAGGCCACTGAGCTGGCCATGGGGAGCCCGTCTGTGGTGGTACCCTCCTAGCCTATCCAGCCAGCTGATCCAAGACCCTCAGGCCCAGGCTGAACATGGATGCGCCCAAATCCCAGTCCTGGGACCAGCCATGCAAGGACCCTCCCCAGCCTCTACATCTGTAGGAAGAGACCACGGCACATTCTGATCCTTCTGACATAATCCTGGGAGCAGTTTTCAGCCAGAGCCGAGGCTGTCACTTCCTGCCACACTCCAGGCACATGGGGACCCAGCTTGCCCATTACCATGATGGCCCCACCATCAACCCCTATCCTCTACGCAGGGGAGCAGAGAGTGGGACAGCCTAAGGAGCCCCAGAGGATGAAAAAGAAGCTTCTGCAGTAAAAGCTACAAGCCTCCAGGGGAGCCTGGGGTGGGGGGACCTCCCCTAAGGAGTCACTCAGTCTCCTCTGCGGAGGGTGATCCAAGCTCATAAATCACCAGATGGATGTCAGCATCATTTCAGAACAAGCCCTCAGGGTGAGAACCCTGGCCTGGAGTTGGAGATGGACCCCAGGGTGTGATGGGATGAGAAGCCGGGGAAAGAGTGGATGGACTTCAGCATAGGAGAGGCCAGGATTAGGGTGAGCAGCAGATCTGAAGTCTGGCCAGAGAGAGTGGAGAAAGGGGGCAGAGGGGCAGGAATGGAGGGAGATGAGGAAGGTTCATCTGAGGCAGGAGAGGGGAACCCACACAGTTACAGGCTCCTGGGCAGGACAGCGTGCGTGCAGGGAAGGCGAGTTAAGAGTTTCTTGAGTCAACCCTGCATTCATGTCCTGACTTCAGCAATGATCAGCAGAGGGACCTTGGGCAAATGAACCTCTTCTCATTGTTTGTATTCAATCAACGGGATAAAGCACAGAAAGTTCTCAACACAACGCCTGGGCTAGTAGCACTCAATAAATGGAATTGAATCCTGTTAACATTCACCATTGTGGAGGATGGTGAGGGATCATGGAGAGGTGGAGGAAAAGCCAACATGGCAAGTGGAGGGGAGCAGATGTGGGGGATAGGGCTGGTGACAATGAAAAGAGAGAGCAGGGAGATGAGGGGCAGGATGGGAGAGGGGATGCAAATGGGCTGAGGTGAGGGACAGGGAGGGAGGGAGGAGGAGGCTGGAGCAGCACCACCACCCGGGCTCCAGAACCCCTCAGGGACTGTCCCCACTTGCAGCTCTCCTACCCTCACCTCCTTCTCCCTGCCAGGTGCCAATGGATTCCCCTGCTGTGGCAAGGAGTCAGTGGACATTATGGAGACACAGTGAGAACCAGTCCCCATCATCACAGGACCTCTCCCCAACCCTCCAGGACCACCTACCCCCTGCCACCACTGCCAAGTTTTCATTTACCTCCCAACTCAGGATCTCCATCTTTCCCATTTCCAAAATCTCCCCAAGGGCAGTATCCAGGCCAAAAGGCGGGGCAGGGGGTGTCTACCATCCCCCTTCTGCTTCCACCTCGAACCCCTGATGTTGGAGGAGGACTGAGGGGTGGTGGGGCACACCCAGGGACATGGAAAGGACCTGACCCCTTAGAGCTGCCTTGCTCCGAGGACAGAGCTGTCCCGGGGCGGGTGGGCAAATGCCTGAGGATGGAGAGAGGGTCACAGTGGCTGAGCACCAAAGGCAAGGGCCGAGATGGCAGCAAACTGCCCACAAGAACTGAGGGGTCCTCCACACACACCTCTGCTTTTCACATCTGCCGAGCTGGGACTGGGCGGGTCAGGGAGGGCACTGCTCTGGGCTACTCCCTCTGCAGGAGCACTTTCTGGGTACTGGCTCTCCCAGTGAGCTGCAATGGCTCACAGGAATGCTTGATTAAAATGAAGATTCCTGGGCCTTACCTCCAACCAGCTGGATCCCTCTTTGGGGTGGGGGGCGACTTGGCAAGGTCTCCAGATGATTCCTAAACTCACTAGAGTTTGAGAATACTACTCTGGAATTCTTGGTGGTAGCGGGGACAGCCAGGGGGGTGGATGAGCTGGGTGCATCTTGCCAGCCCCCGTACAAGGCAGGGGGCCTTGAGGGCCCTAGAGACCCCCTACCCCCTGAAGCCACCCCACCCCCACCCCATGGAGCCCTGTCACCCACTCGGCCTCCTTCTGTCTTAGGGGTGACTTAAACCAACACCAGTTCCAGCCACCGCTACAAGAGGAAGATGAGCTGGAGGTAACCACGGGCAGGGTCCTCTTATGGGGAGGTGGTAGGCAAGGGGCAGCATTCTTTGAGGCCCATCTTCCCCAAATCCTGACCAGCCCCTACCTTTGACAATTCTGGGACCCTAGTGCCAGGCCAGTGTTGGCATGCTCACACACACCCACCTCTCCACCTGCACACACCACCTCCCTACCCCAGGCAGGTATCTTGGAAGAGGCAGGTGTGGGGGAGGAAGTGAGCAGTAGGGAGGTAGGGTATGGGGGGGCGGGGGGTATAGGAGGGACGGAGGGCAGGGAATTGGCACCAGGGAGGACCTCAGGGGCAGGGGCCTCCTGAGCTTTCAGTGGAAACCTTTCAGCTGGAAAAAGAATTGCTAGAGCTGGAGCCTGGCCACGAAGCCGACCTGGACCTGGACCCAGAACTAGAGCTGGAGATGGAACCAGAGCCCGAGGCATTGCTGCAGTCGGCGCTGTGCCCGGTACCCATGCTCAAGCCTGAGGCCGAGCTGGACGTGAGGCCCAACTTGGAGTCCCACAGTGAAGACCCTAGGCAACAGGGGTACAGGATAGAGTCCCTCCACCCATACACGGAGGGGCTAACGCAGCAGGACATCAGCCGGTGGAGTTTGAGGTCAGACTTCAGCTACCCGAGCTCCACAGAGGAGGACGAGGTGTGCACCGACCAACGCTCCATCTGCGTGCAGACCTCCAAGCACCTCTTCTGGGCAGACAAGGTCATCCAGGCCTCAGAAAACAGCCTGCAACGGGCATTCAGCATGCAGCCTAGCAAGAGGAGCACAGATGAGACCACCAGCCGCTGGAACCAGGAGTCGGTCCCCAAGGACACCCTGTGCTCCAAGAAGCAGCTCCAGAACCCCAGCACCCAGCCAGCTCTTCCAGCCGTGGGCTCCCAGCAGCCGCCAAGCCCCGGCCTGTCCTCCTCCAGTCTCCCGTCCGCCCTTGGCCTGGCAGAGCTGATCAACTTCGCATCTTCCCTGGCCTTGGCCTCCTCCAGCAAGATAGACTTGCCCAACTTGGAGCACATGATCAAAGCTCCACCCCAGAAGGCCGTGGAGCCTTCCACAGAGCCCGCCGTGGGTCATGCCGCCCAACTGACCATGCACAAGCCAGAGGGGGAAGCGCTCACCAAGGAGCTGCTGGAGAAACCACCTGAAGCCAGGGAACCCCAGAAAGCTTCGAAGCAGGAAGGCAAGAACTTCCCTCACCCTTACTTTGACTTCAGCAAGCCAGGGGTCAAGAGGGCCACCATCGAAGGGGAAGTGAATCTTCTCCAGCACCCAGCCATGTCCCCTACATCGCAAGAAGCTGTGAAAGAGTAAGTGAGGCCAGCCCACAGCGCCCCCCAAGAGGGGGCTGTGCTAGGATGTGTGGGTGGGCCCACTCCTCACGCAGCCGGTGGGGGTGGGGAACAGCGGAATGAGGTGCTGGGAGGGGATGGGGTGGGCTGCGATGTCTCAACCTCAGTGACCTCATAAAGGCTACTGGAAACAAAGTTCCAGTGGACTGAGGCACAGTGCCAAGGCCAGGGCTGGAGACGCCTGGGGACCATGGTGGGTGAGCACTCCAGGGCTCAGGCAGGGACCTGGGTTCAAAATGGGAAGAGCTATTGCAGCGTTAGGAAGCTTCCCATTCAGAGGGTAGATGGCCTCACCCCAGCAGAAATGCTCAGGCTAGTGTCTGCCCTGCAGAGAACCTGATAGCCCCAGCCCTGGGCCCAGGACACCTCCATCAAGCGGAGAATGAGGGAACAGGGTTGTCCAGCACCCCTTGCTTCCTGGTGATGAATGGATACAGAATATCAGCTGCCCATCAGCGTGCAGCAGGAAGAGGCCCCCTTACCCCTGTGCCCTCCTCAGAGAGGCCTCTGGGCTCACCCCTCTCCCCCGACCCTCCCCCTGGGGACCAAATGACATTCTCTCTTTTGCATTGCAGCTCAGTGCCGGGAACCAAGAAAGGGAGTCCATTATTGCTGAAAATCCATTTTAAGCTGTCGTCCCCCACTTCCCCAGAGAAATGACTAGACAAAACCAGTAAAGCCTCCAGTGCTGGCCCCCGGCTCAGACATTTTGTGTAAATGCTCCTGGACCAGTGACCTCCCCTGGCTGCAGCGTCCCAGGCTCAACTTTTTAAGGATGCCACTCCCATTTTTTAGCTACCCTAGCCCCACCTGCCCCACCTGGCCCCTGAGGGCTCTGCCGCCCCATTTTGCCCCTGCTCATTCCCTGTGGGTAGTTCCACTCCCCCGCACCTATCCAGACCTCTAGAGGGGCCAGCAGCAGAGACTCAGGGCTGGGCTTGGGGAGGCCGCAGTGCCCTATCTGAGGCTTCAGTTTCTAGATCGTGAAATGGGGATTCCTCTTGGCCTGAAGCCAGGGACATGTTGGGATCATCTGAGGAGATAGCCTCCTAGGGGGAGCTGGGCAAGCAAGAAGGCAAGTCTGAAGAGAGTTCTTCCTGCTTCTCTCCACTGGGAAGAGCTGGCATGGGGAAGGGATGGTGTCCAGGCGCTAGAAGAGGGGAAGAAAGAAGCCAAAGGACTGGCCCTCCAGGGGCCCACAGCTTTGAGTTGGCGGTACATCAAACTTTAGGGGGGCCCCTGTGTAATGGCACATGCAACTCAGACGCACACACACACAAACACGCCATGAGCTGACCAGCACATCACACATACAGGCACTCACATAACACAGAGGAAGCACATTCCACACAGGCATGTGCAAAAGCACACATCAACACGCACGCCTGTGACTCAGACACACGTACTAAACATGCACACAAATGCACAAGCCTCCCACATCAGGGGAGGACGGGCAATATGGGGAAGCTTCTGGAAGAGAAGAGATGGCAGCAGAGAGAAGGGACTTCAGAGTGCAGAGATGGACACGCACATGAAGAGGAAAGTCCGGGAGGAAGGGGAGGGGGACAGCGCCATGGCGTGTGCCCTGGTCAGCCTTGAGACCCACTCAGGGCCAAGCCTCCCTGTCAGTGAAAGCCCAGCCTTGCAGATCCTCAAGAGCTTGCCCCACCTTGAGAGGGGGCCGAGGAGGGAGGTGCGCAGGGCCTGGGACAGTGGGATTAGGAAGGGTAGCAGTTAAGAATGGGCCAGGACCAGAGGAGAGGGGGCATGAGGCTGGAAGGAGGGACAAGGAGGAGATGCAGAGGTGAGTGTGTGGGGAGGGGCTGGGCCAGAGGTGTCATTAGGCTGCTGGGACTCATCTTCCTGGAGTATTTTTTTAAATGTGGTTTGTGGGTTTGCATTGTTTGAAGAAGGGGATCCTTCCCTCCCAGGGAACCTGGGGTGAGGTGGGCCACATTCCCACCTTGGGCTGGACCCCACTCTCCCACACCCTCACTTTTGGACTCTGGGGCCTGCTTTTCCCCTGGGCTCTGCCATCCGGCGTTAGCGTCCAGAGTATAGTCTCAAATTCAGATGTCTTAAGGGAGGCAGAAACTCAAAAGAGTAAAGCAGCAGGTACCCAGCAGGGAGGAGCGGGCAAGTAGTGGGGGAGAGAGTGTACCCCTGCCAAAGATGTTAAAATCCACCCCAAAGCCAGCCTGAGGGCTGCAGCCTGGGGCGCAGACCAGCCTCAGAGCCTGTGACTCTGCCTTTCAGGCAGCAGAGGGCAGAAGACCAAGAGACCCAGGTCGGCACAGAGAATGCACAGGTGACCAGGGCTGGAGAGGGTCCACTACTATTCCAAGCTACTGCCTCCAGAATCCCCTGGAGAGAGGACTGTGGGTGCAGGCTGGCGTAGGGGTCCTGGGAGGAGGCGGAGCTGTGCACCCACAGGCCTGGTCCCAGGTCCCCTGCAGTCTGAGCACACGAGTGGGCTGGGCCCCTCGGCCTTGTCTTCTCCTTGCCTCCAAGGCCTCCACAGAAGCCTAGAAGACCACTCACACAAGTCCCAGGAGAGGAGCAGGCCTGCAGGATGCAAAAGGGGAGGCTGCAGCAGCACACTGCCCTGCCCTGCGCACTGCACACTGCCATGGCCACGGGCTGAGCAGGCGTCCTGGAGGGCCAGAGAGCTCAAGGGCCTTGCGGCTACCCATTCAGTACAATCAGGCCCAGGCACAGGGTCTCCGAGATGAGGGCAGGGACTGGAGGTCAGGCCTGGGGTTCTGGGTGTGGGGTAAGGTGAGAGATGCCTGGCTCTGGCATCTCTCTGCAGCAGGTGCTAAGGCCTTTGCAACCTCTTCCCCCTGAGGCAGCCTTGCAGTCGAGAACCTGCTACCCCTGACACCCCAGCAGCTGGCAGGTGAGGGCCTCAGGGCTTGGAGCAGGGAGGAAAACTAGGGGGTGTTCGGTGTAGAACTACAAGGGGTTGCCTGCCCAGAGTCTAGGGTCACTGCAAGAAGCTGGTGATTGTGTTGTAAACTTCCCTCCATGCCAGTCTAATTTGCTCATCTCTACTGATGTGTGTGTGTGTGTAGGAGGGAAGGATAGATTGGTGGATAGGAAGGTATTTGGATAGTTGAGGGAGGGAGGGATGGATGGATGGATGGACGGACAGATGAACAAGATGGAAAGAGGAAGGGAGGAGCCAAATTGGGAGAAAGGATGGAAAAAAAAGAATCTGAGTTCCCTGGCCCCCTGGCATCTGGGGCTGTAGGGGTAGGGTTAGAAGGAACCACTTGTACATTTGGGGACCCCAATGCCCCCCCAAATATCATGCCCTGATATTGGCAGGGGCCTCTCAAAGCAGAATAATTTTATTGATCATCAATAATTTTCAGTGCCTGCTACATGCCAGGTGCCAGCGGGGCACCTGAAGCCTCAGAGCACTGTAGCTCCAGAGCCAGACTGCCAAGTCCAAAGCCCAGCATTGCCCCTACTGGGGATGTGACCGTGGACACAAGTTTTGAATGCTTTTCACACAAACATGTCCAAACATGAGTTTTGGACATGAGAATTGAATGGGCAATTAACAAGCACCAACACACAGCAGCCACTGTTGTTCTTTATATTAGAAGTTATAATGCCCAGGGGCTGGAGTTGGTCACCAAATCATCAGTCCCGTCTGAGCTAGCCTGGGAGGATCTCAGCGTTCCTGTGCATGTGGTTCACCTTGCTGCCTGCCCCCTCCCTGCCCCCAGCCTTCCAGGACGTCTTCAAACTGTTCAGCTCTAGCTTGACAGGCACTGTGGACATGCGCATCATGCAAGCTGCCCTGCACAACGTGGGTGTCCAGCTGAGCCCACAGGAGATGTGTGAGGCCCTGCGGCAGGCAGACTTGGACAGTGGGTGCCCCATCCCTGCCCTCTCTCTCCTCTAGCCCTGAAGAACACCTCCCTGGCCCACAAAATCCCAGGCTGGTCCTGTTTTAAAGTTCCCTCTTCTGGGAAGCTTGCCTTGATCTACACTCCTATCCCATAGCCCCTAAACATTTCTGCTATGTGAATCCTCATCCAACTTGGGGCTCCCCCAGGACAAGGGCTACTTCTCCTCCACTCAAATCAGGGTACACCCTTGGCTAGAGGCAGACCTGGATTCTCTAATGCCTGAACTGCTGGCAAGCCCCTAATGCGTATACAGGGTAGCCTTCTGCAGGGGCGGGCACCCACAGTACCCACTCCTCTCTCTCTCTTCCCAGGTGATGGAACCCTAAGCTTCAAAGACTTCCTGGGTGTCCTCACCGGCAGCCACCGCCTGGCCCAGTGCTTGGGTGAGGGGCAAGGCTGGTGGGGCAAGAGTGGGCCTGGCCTGGGGGAGGCTCCTCCTTATCCTCCCCCATGTTCTCTGCCCCCAGGCCAGGTGAGGAACAGCCGGTTCGGTGACCCCCAGGGCCTGCAGACTCTGTTCTTAGAGATGCTGTTCAAGCTGATGAGCCAGGGGTTCGTGCCCTCCAGTTCAGTGCAGGAGGTGATGAGGTAGGCACAACTGTACACAGCTGCAGGGCCCAGGATGGCGGGAGCAGACTGCGTTCCGTGCAGGGGTCCCCTGACGTTCCTGCCCCAGAGACGGGAGCCCTGAATTCTGGATCAGTTTCCTGGGCGCCAACTTGCCCCACACCGGAGACAAGGGGCTTCCTGTCCTGCTTGGGTCTCCTCACATGGGAGATGGAGAGGGCTAGAGGAGGCGGAGGCTGAGGCGGTTGCCCCCCTTTTCTCCTTCAAGCTACTACTCCAAGAGGCAGCAGGCTCTGCGGCTGAACCCAAGCTGGAAAGGCCCCTCCCGCGGCCACGGCCGCACCGCGCGCGCTTACGCGGACCTCACCTTCTTCCGCCAGGCCGCGCGCCTCGGCGGCCTCTCCAGCGCCGAGCTGGCGCGCTCGCTGCACAGACTGCACAAAGCAGGTGTGCCCCGGGCTGGACGCGGACCCGCGGGGGGGACTCTTACTCAGGACCCGCGCTCAGAACGGGCGCCTCCACTTCCTCCACCGGCTTCCCCACCCCAGGTACGCACAGCCCCTACTCTCAGATACCGAACCTGGCCCGGCGGACGCGCACAGAACGCAACACGCGGAACCGAGCCCCGCGCCCCGACGTCCGACTTTCCAAGTCCTACCAGCCCAGCCGCCCCAAGCTCCGGCCGAACCGGGGGCCCCTCAGCCAAGGTGAAAGCGGGGAAGGAGGCGGGGCCTGTGGGAGGGGCAGGCCATGCAGATAAGGGGCGGGACCTGGAGATAGGGGCGGGGAAGACGGAGTGGGGGCTGGGCAGACAGAGTAGGGGCGGAGGGTACGGGGTGGGGGCCAGGCTGACAGATGGGACGTGACAGGCGGGGAGCGGAGGGGCAGGCAAAGAGTGGGAGTAGGCCTCCGAGAAATGGGGACGAGGCCGGCGGAAAAGGAGGCGGAGATGTAACCTGACATCACTCACGGGCATGACTGAGGACAGGGCGGGGCATAAGAAAGAGAGGCAGGTACCCAGGTAGGAGGCGGGGCTGGCGAAAATGGGGCGGGGCTAGCAGAAAGGTGAACCCAGATGCTGCTAATCCAGCGTCTCTAACTCCAGCTGCAGGCTTGGCTCTCCGCACGCCCCCCCCCCCCCGCCCTCCCGCAGGGTTCGTGAGCCATTCACTCGAGTCTATGCGCACATCGACCCTGGCTCCCTCCCCACCAACTCTAGTGCAGAAGCAGCCCTTCTCCCCTCCGCCGGCCTCTCTGCAGAGACCTGCTATGAAGAACTTATACAAATAAAGTGTTTGCTGAGCGAAACAGGCTGTGCGTGGTGGGGGCGGGCACAGAGCGGACGCGGATCTTTTGCAAACGTCTTTATTAATCTTGTATAAAAATAAGGTCCACGGAGAGTCCCTGGAGCTGGGGGTAGGGGAACGCGAGGTTGTACTTTATAAGTTACAGGCCAGGCTCCCGCTGAGGCTAAGTATGGCTATTGGCGGGAGGAGGGTGCTGCAAGCAGCATGTAGGGGGAGGGGCCGGCGATGCTGCCCCCTGTGGCAAGATGAGGATGCGCCGGCCCATTTGAGGTGGGTCCATGGCAGGGGACTGCGGCGGAGGGGGCTGCCCGGCCCAGCCGAGCTGAGGACCACCTTCCTTGAGCCCCGGCCTGCCCACGCCCCGCGTCGCCTCCCAACCCGCAGAGTCCATTTTCGGAAACAGGGTCTACAGGGAGAGGTCGGAGGTGACCTGCAGGGGGGGTCCTGGGGGGCGCCGGCGAGCACTTCGCCTGCCTGTGTCCGCGCGGATGTAGGGCTGGTTCCGCAGATCTGCCAGCCGAGAACAGACACATTTACCCTTCAGGAGCCTGCCCGGGGCTGGGACCACCACTCCAGGTCACAGGCCTCACCCTTCTAGGGACCCAGGTTGTATGCATGTGGGAGGGGGCCTGTTTATGTTTACCAGACACCCCCTCAAACACACCCCAGGGCAGGGCAGCATGACTCAGTACCCCCAAGGACCCCCAGGGCTGTGGGCGGCCACTCGGATGAGAGGCCAGGCCATCAGGGTACCTGGGGGGCTAGAGGGGGATCTCCTCTCCCAGGCTGGCCTCATAGAGGAGCCTGGACGTCCGCTTGCCGGTGCGGGCCGTGAAGGGCACTGTCTTGAGCACTGAGGGTTGGGAGGGAGGAAGGGGGAGAGAAAAGAAAAAGGAAAAAAGACAGAAAAAGTAGCAAGAGGCAGTGAGGCAGCCAGACCCCCAGGGTGGGGGCAGGGGGAATGGAGGACAGCATAGAAGGACAGACCCAGGACAGGACAGAGCTGGCCAAGCCCTCACCTGTGATGATATCTTCAATGGCCCCGTCACGGTCACTCTCATAGATGAGTGGCTCCTTCTGCTGCTTCCGCTTCAGCTCAGAGATGAGGTCCATCTGTTGCCGCCGGATCTTGGATGGGGACTGCGGGGGAGGGGGGGTGGTAAACAGCTCCAGCTCCCAGAATCCCCTCTCTCCATGCCACCAAACCCTGGAACATCTGCCTGCTCCCCCACAGCAGGAAGAGAGGAGCCCACTCCCATCCCAGGCTGCTGGGGCACCATCCTGGCCTCGGGCAGGGTCTGTCCATAAAAACGAGGGTGTGGAGGAGGGCCCGATCTTTGGGATGAGGATCCCAAGCACCCCTGCAGCCCTGTGCCAAGTTCAGGGGCAGCTGCCCACCTTGGGTGCTGGGAGCTCCCCTCTGCCCGGGACGTCGGCGCCAGCCTCCTGGGCAGCTGCTTCTTTCTTCCACTGTTCCACCTCCTGCTCAGCTTTCTAAAGGGCGGAGGCGGTCTCCATGAGGGGAGCCCACCCTCGCCTCTCCCGCCCCTCCACTGCCCATGTGGAGAGGCTGCAGTGCCCTGCAGGGCCCCCAGCCTGCCCACCAGACACACATACCTTGTAAGCCTTGATGAAGCGGCTAAAGAGGGAAAAGAACATGGAGGGGGATGTGGTCTTGGGGTTCTCTCCGAAGTACTCCACCACAGACTCGTAGGCCTCCTGCGGGCACAGCCTGTCAGCCCCATCAGCATGGACCCCCTCGGAGCCTGACCACTGCTCTGGACCCCCTTAAGACACTGGCCACTTCATCTCTGCATCTCTTGGCAAGTGGCCCCTCACTCCTGTTCCTCCACCAAGGTGTCCCTCCAGGCCTTGACTAAACCCCACCAGGTAGTTCTTCATACCCCACCCCAGCCTCCCCACCTCCAGGGCCGGGCCAGCCCCAGCCCACCTGAGCCGTCTTGCTGTCTGCCAGCAGCTTATCCATGGTGGGCGAGTTGGCCCTCAGGAACTCCTTGAGCACCGTGCAGTCGTCCTGCCGCACAAACTCCCGCTGGGTCAACTCCAGGCCTCGCTGCAGGGAGCGCACGTCCCCTAGGACGCTGTCCAGGGACACTGGGGGGTGGGGCAGTATAGATGTAGGAAGTGAGAGAGGCGCATTCTTGTCCAGTTACATCCTGTGGTCCCCTGACTTTCTCCCAACACATACCAGTCCGCAGGGCTGAGCCCCTCCCCCTACCCGGGACGGGGTGCCCCCACCCATACCTGAGCCCGCCTTGTCCAGGAAGTGCAGGTCGCTGTGGAAGCCTGTGAGCTGTGGGTACTTCTCAGCAATGACCTTCACCAGGTAGTGCAGCAGCGTCTGCTTGCGGTCAGTCGACTTCATCTCCAGCAGCTGCATGAGGACCTGTTGTAAGCCACAGGCCACCAGGCATCCTCCATCCCCCAGGCCAGCGGACCCCTCCTCGCCCCCTCACCGCATCCAGACTCTGGAGTCGGAAGCCATAGGCTGCTCCACGCTTGCTGCTGTTCATGTAGTTGCCGAAAGCCAGGACAATCTGGGAGAGGCAGGGGGCAGAGCTCAACAGGGTGCCGGGCTGAGGAACCCACTGAAGTATAAATTGCACAAGAGGAAAAGGTGGCGAAGAGCAAGCCCACACTCAGCCCCCTCTGCACTCCTGCGTGGACCCCTCAGGTCTGTGACACGTGTACATGTGTGTGTACATGTTTGACGCATGTGCACGGCTAACACTATGGCACACCCAATTTTGTCCTCTGCTATTCCTACCCAAAACTGTGCTGCCGACATCTCTCCTAGGCTGTGGGGAGTAGATGGCTTTCTAACAGCCATTTATACTGGTTCCCTGAGACTCCACTGAACAGGTGTGGGTGCTCTGCTGCTAATTACACAGCAATCCCCAGAGGGGGCAGGGTCTAAAATGCACTGTGGTAGACATGGCCCCCACCCCCAGCTTCTGAGCCTGTATATGCGAGGTGGGAACATTATGTTTGTTGCATCCTAGGTGTGCAGGGCAGGGCCCGGATCTCCCTCTCACATGACCCAGAACAGGCAGGGAGTCATGGGTGGGCCCTGCCTCCCAGACCCTTGCCCTGGGCTCTCACCTCCAGGATCTGGCGGAGTTTGTCAGAGGACTTGATGGACATTGAGGCTGCAATGATGGCATTCAGTTGCTAGGAGTAGGATGGGGGAAGCAAGGTAAGTTGTGGTGGGGTGGGGGCACGCCCATACCGGGGAGGCTCAAGACCTCCCAGAAGCCCTCTTGGAGCCCAGGCTGGCAGCTGCCTCCTCCCCATCCCCAACCCGGCTGCCCTGCCCTGCCCGCCCTGCCCACACCGGCATGAGCAGCTGGGCAGTATCCGGGAAGTTGCCCAGGAAGGTGAGCGTGGCCATGCGCTCAGGCAGGCGCGGGATGCGGCTGAAGCGCAGCATGAAGCGGTCCTCCTCCGACAGCTCCTCCATCGGCCGCTGCTCCCGCTCGAAGCGGGCGATGAGGCTGCGCTCATACTCCGTGGGCAAGAAGCGGGTCAGCAGCTCCAGGAAGTCCAGGCCAAGGGCCTGTAGGTCATACCTGGAGCGTGGGGGGAGGGGGGTAAGCATCACTCCACACCCACCAGTTCTTGAGAGCAGGACTAACCCCCTCCCTTGACTGAATAAATAAACTTCAGTATTTGCTATTTGCCAACAGCTTCAGGGAACAGGAGGCAAGAATCTAGGGAAATTGGGAGCTGGGAAGCCTGGGGTCCCCATCATACATCAGTGGCAGATGCCAGCTGTAAATGCCTGAGCTGAGTGCTGGGCAAAGAGGCAGGGAGGGAATGGAAATGTCTCAGTCTGGGCATGGACTCACAGTATGACCTTCGTTTTCTCCACCTCAAAACGGAAACAAGGCCCCCTGCCCTACTCCCTGACCTGGGCTGGTATGAAGCTTGATGGGCTCTGTCCCACAGCTGGGGCTCTTTTACTAGGACCTGCCTGATGACCCTGGCCTAGCAGAGGAGATGGGCTGCCCACAAGCCCCGAACAGGGGTACTCACGTCTCGATGGCCTGGCAGATGCTGTCGGCCCCCATGTTGCCCTTCCGCAGGGTGATGGCCAGGTTCTTCGCCCGGTTAGCCTCGATGAGCGTGGCCTTGCTGGGGGCCTTCTGGGCTGCCTTACCCTTGAGAGCACTGAGGTCCAGGCTGGGACCTTGGGACTTTGTCTTGAACTGCTCTTCAAAGTCACTCATGTCCAGCTCCTGAGGGCGCAGGGAGAGGAGGTGGGGCTGGGCGGGACTGGGGGCGGGTACCCTCCTGGATGAGCACTGTGCTTGGTGCTAGAGCCACCTATCCAGCCCTGACCAGGCCACCAGCACAGAAACAAACCAATCGCCCAGCTTGGCCACCGGACCTGACAGGGGATTCAGGGGAAGCACAGGAAGCATTGAGGGGAGGGAGGAGCAGCACCTCACCCAGGGACCCAGACCCCAAGCCATTAAAGCTGAAAGAAAAGCTGAATTGGCCAGGGGTAAAAAGGAGAAAGGGAAGGGCATTTCGGGCAGAGGGAACAGCATGAGCAATGGCCTGGAGGCAAGAGAACACATCCCTTTTGGAAAACTGAAAGTGGAATTAGAAGGGCTGAGGCCCTGGTTGTCTGTGGGAAGGTAGTAGCAGAGGGGCCTGGAAGGAGAGAGGTACCAGACTTGGGGGAGGGATGTGCCCCTCTGCAGGGGTGGGGGGAAAGTTAGGGGAGTCAGGATACACAGCCTACTAGATGCACTAACCCAGTTTGGCTTAACACCCATCCTGGGCCTCCAAGTCCTCATCTATAAAATGGGGTGGAGATGACTAGTACCCAGCATGATGCAGGCGGGTCCCCTCCTCCGCTGGTGCCCACGCTGGGAACACGGCAGGGCCACACTCACCTGCAGCACCTTCTCGTCATTGAGCTCCGTGAAGACAGTGCCTGTAATCTGGCTGGGTTTCAGGGCCACCCAGTTTAAGAGCGGCATTCTGAACTTGGTCTGGATGGGCTTTTTGGCCTTCACTCCTGGGATAAAGGAGGGAGTGGTGAGCACTGGGGGGTTAGCCGGTGGTGTGGCTGGAGAGAACCGAGGCCCAGCGAGGCCTGAAAGGGCAGGCAGGAGGCAGTAGGAGACCCCCTTGACAGAAGGTCCCGGAGGACACTGAGGCCGGAGCCGCCCCCCACCCCATCTTCCCCCAGCCCTGGGCAGTCCACTCACCTGGGCCCATCTCTGGGCTAGACGCTCCAAGGGCATCAGAGGGACCTCCCAGAGGCGGGGGCGGTGGAGGCAAAGGCCCATCTGTACCAGGAGGTGGCAGTGGCGGCGGGGGTGGGGG